TTACAAACAAAAGGTTCAATAATATTAACATAATACATTTACATTTTAAATATACTTGTATACGCGCAGTGGCTACTGTTGGCGCTGTCCGGAAGCTTATTGACAAGGTCCATAAAATTTGATGAATAAACTCGTACAAATGTATGTACATTTTTCTACAGACAACGACTGTTAAAAATGACAGGCCTACAAAATTGTTACAAGCATAAATATTCACATTGTGAACTCTTGGTTGTAATACCCATCAGGTTGATCCCCTACACTTTTCTTTCCCTAAATAATATACACAGGATCCCTACTAAATATTGCTAGACTTGTTCAGAAAACATAATTGTTGCTTGATATGTACATAAAATATTTTATTTTCCAAGGATATGTATACTATTCTTGAAAGTTTCTAATAGTTTGAAATTGATTATCCTCACATTTTTATGCTGAAATTTCTCTGAATATTAGATAGTTTGTTGAAAACTTTTTCTGTCTACCGGCTTAAATTAAAATTTTAATCTACTGATTAAACTCGTACATATACTTTTTTTATATTTATACTAATAATTAAATAGGTAAATGTACCATTTTGGTCGATCACTTTTTGCCATTTTTCCGTCAGACACATTACTCCGTCAGTATAATACTTTCATCAGTGTAAATCGAAATTTCTAGAACCGAAGCGATTGAACCAGCATCGTCTTGAGTGGCATTCTTCCCTTTTTATACAAAATTTCAAAACAAAGCAAATTTCTTCATTATTTTCACTCATTTTTGAACAGCAGTAACTTTTTTCAACTTCCCCGAATTTAATTTTTTTTTTTGTTTGTTAAATGAAGTTAAAATTTCACCTTTCCAACACTATATGATATGAAGCAGTGTGATTGGTAGCACTGGAAATATACTACTGCAACTGTAAAATCGGCACGGGAGATCCCACCAGCAAGTTGCATTTGTGGGTTGAATTAAAAGGTTTAATGTACATATCTCCTAAAATATTTAAGGTATATCCAAATTCGCTTAGGGCAAATCATTTAAGCACTTCAACTCAAGATTTTCGGACTTCTGGGTGACTTTATTACGTTTGTATATCGGCCAATATGTGAGTTCATCTGAAATTGAGAGAGCGTGTTTTACAAAAAACAGTGTGTATTTGCCACTATATAACTAATATCGTCATTTTCGAACATCCTACTTCGTAAGATTGATGGTGGTACTTGAGGTACCTTAATGGAGTTTTGCGATCATATTTTTATGCTGTGGCATGTTAACGTTATGTGGTATTAACAAAAATAGATAAAATCGAGTCAATATACAACTTATAATGATTTTCGTTATTCTTACAAGTTTTTTGCCAAATATGTCGTCCACTGAGTATTATTTATATATAGAAGAAGAAGCAAAAGTCACGTGTAAATTTCCACCTAGTTCTGATAGCTTAAATTTTTTTCGATTTGCGAAGCGTTAAGGAAAAGCGAATCGAACAAACTATACTTGATGTTCAAACAAGTGGGCAGCTCTTGGGAAGTCACGTGTCTTTTGACGCATGCACAATCGTGTTTCGATCCTATATTTGGTGAAGCACAACTTTTTCCGCGTCAGAAATAATTTTTATCATTTCTTAGTTTCCTCCGAAGACAGTTACAATTTCGTCGTACTCGTTTTGCTTTTGAATATTTGGATAGCAAAACACTACTGATCAGTTAACTAATTGTTGGTAAAGATGTCGCTATTTGTTTTTCAACGAACCTGAATCTAGAATTTTCTATCCTTAACAATTTCGATAGGATGTCATTGCCAGTATAGTAGCTGATTTTTAATTCCCTGAATTATGTTAAGTCGTCATGAAGCTTTTAAGAAGTGCTGTTCCATCTTATCACCATTTCTCAGAATCCTTTTCATTTCACAATTGAAAAACATATCTACAAGTTAACACTATAACCAACATATTTTCGGTCAAATTTATCTAGGGTACGACCTATGCAACTAATATTGATATAATACAAAGGTTCCGATCAAAAATGCTTATACCAATCTCGTGTTCACCATGGTACATGCGTAATGAAAATTTCCATAAAGGCCTTGATAAAAAATGAAGTAGAAGACAGCAGAATTAAATATACATACATATATCTAAACTCCGAGATCACCCAAAAACTTTGGCTAATGCTTTGGTTCATTCCTGCGATCAAGCACGCCTTAAAAGAAGAGATGTGCCTGCGTACTAAGGATCAACGATCACCAATACAGCTCAATCACTTGCTTCAGCTTGTCTAGTTTTTAAATAGATTTAAGATTTTATTCTTATGTTTTTAAAACAAAAAGCAGAATCGGCAAATAAAAAGATATGGCAAAAATAAATTTATTTTAGGTACGAAAATGTGTTATGCAAAGGACGCTTTCGAATTTTCATTGAGATAACTCTCATATTCGAACAAACTTATGCGGTACAAAGTCACACGGAAGATCGAAAACCTTTATACTAGATATGTGGGGCTAAGGAAGTATTGGCCCGATTCAACTCATTTTTGACATACAGACATAACATGACCGACATTTTCGATTCGAAAAGTCAACTATAGGTACGGAGGTGCAAATATTCGCCACCTAGGGTCTTGAACAATTTTTGTTGGATTTAAACAATTTTTGGTCATAAGGTGGCACACACTAAAGGCAATATTCGTGCAAAATTTCATCCCGTTATATTAATTGCTTGTTCATTTGGCTACTGGGAACTAAACGAACCAAGTGGAATTTATAATTGTGCTATATGGGAGTAGGCGTGGTTGAAATCCGATTTCGCCCACTTTAACACTGTGACATAAAAATGTAAGAACACCCCAGCTCTCATAAAGCCAACTCATACCATCTCGGTGGTAAATTTAATAACTCTGACGTATTTAGTAATTGATTTACCGCGCTTTTGGTAGTACCGTTATATGTGGAGTGAGCGGGGCTATCCTCCGATTTCATCCATTTTCACGCCGTCGATAGAGGTTCTTATAAGATTTGTACTCAACAAATTTGTTTGTTGTAGCTTAAGTGGTTTAGGAGATATGTACATGGAGAGGAGGAGGAGATATGTACATATGTATGTATTAAACTTATCAGAGGGCGGGCTCACGCACACTTTTTCGAAAAATTTTGCCCACAGGACCTTTTTGCTATTGCGATCCCTCCTTTGAATTACAGTTTTATATCTTAATTCAGTGTTTAGTTATGGCACTTTATAGGTTTTCGGTTAATGGCGTTTTTGACCGGTAAATTGGTTCAATTACGCCCCTCAGCGAACTCGCATTTTTTTTTTTTTTTGTGTTAAGAAAGCGGCTGTGGTATACATTTTATACTCTTATTCATGTCAAAAACTATTCAATGCAGTGAAATTTTTATTTACGAATAAAGGCGAAACCGTTTTTGTCGGTATAGGAATCCAAAGGATTGTAGTTAAGATTTAATGTTGAATATGTTCATACAAATAAAATTCATTGGAAAAAATAACGAATTTAAGGCTGCGTTCTAAATGTCTGGTTACCAGTCTTTCTCTCCAGTTAATAAGGTTGTCCGCTTAATAGAGCTTTCACTGTATTTTTTATTTATGAATGTATTTCACCCAGTTGGCTCGATCTGGATACATTGTGCTAAATTTTACTAAAATCGACTCAGTTAGTTAGGAGTCCATCGCGGACAAACAACGTGACACGTTATTTTTATATATAAAGATAACCCTATATCTATCTCGCTTCGTTTTGGGTGATATGTAAAACCGTTAGGTGAACAAAACTATAATAATCTGTTGCAACTGGTTGCAAGAGCATACAAATAATGATTAATGATAAAGTTTCAGAAACCAAAACAGAAAGCTGAAAATCCCATGCTCAGCAAAACTATCAACAGTTTTGTATAATAAGAAGAAAAGTGAAGGTCGACACTTTTCGATCACTTGTGACGATCGTCAATCGAGTAAAACTCTACATTAGATCCGTTTCTATCCGGCATTTGGCTCATAATGATTCATCGAAATCAAGAGAAACCATTCCAATATGTGGAACCATATTGCATGCACCAATTCTAGAGATTTTTCAAAGTTTCCATAGCATCTTTACAGTAGGATTGGTCTTCGCGATTACGAGTATGTACGTCACACAAAATCTCTCGAACAAACTTTCGAATGCTGAAAATTCATACAAGCATCTTTCGAAGGAAGGTTGGCCTAACCACAAAGGATTACATTCCATTGACGCCCTTATAGAAGCGATACGAGCTTCTAAGCAGTCCTGGTATGATTACCACGAAATATCCGTGATATTTTTCAAGAACAAATGCAAATCGCACTTCTTTAATCAACGTCTCTAAGCCTGATATTCCCATTACTAGCTTATCAAAGAAGTAGACTGTCCCTCTTGTATCCCCTTAATTCGTTTAGTGAGCTACTCACTACGTCTCTGCCTTTCGTTCAAGAATATGTTATTTAAAAGTTATTTTTAGATCATTTTAAAAATATACTTAAATGTGGAGAGAATTAAATTCACTCCAACACACACACACACACACACAATCACAGACGTAAATATGAAATTTGCATATCAATATAAACTATATACCCATGGAAATGTGTGTGTATATAAATGAATAAATATTTTTAGTAATGATAACTACATATCCATATGTACATACAAATACGCATATACCATATATATTTTTTTAGCCACATATATTTACATACATTATATGAAAAACAGTCTTATACATTACACACTACGTAAATATTAGTATGTTTCTTCAGTGTCAGGGAATTGAACCTTCAAGCTATCTGACTTAATGGCCTGCAATCATTGCTCTTGAGTGTGTCATCAAAACAGCGACGCAAAGTACAAATGCCATAGTGATAAAGAGGAACAGAAAAAATTAAATGTTCTAGGCACAAAATATACATATAAAAACAAATAGCGCGTGCTCGCACTAATGCCTTCGTCCCCACCGATCGACATTGATTGGCACTCCATAGATTTGATCTGATTTCGTTTTTTTACTTATTTATTTGCGATTTCTTAATGCTTAGCAGTGTCGCCACCCAAGAACTGTCGCATACTACCACAGCCATCGAATGTTTGACTATTTCCCCGCGCGCATCCATCGCGACAATCCGCGTCTTCATCGTTTATCTCACCACTTGAGTTCACTTGAGCAATTCGCGTTCCAGTACTTCCCTGCCTCTGATTGCGGGTCGTTTCTGCGCCTTCGGCACTTCTGTTGTTCGTCTTTGTTTGTTTTGATTGGAATTCTTTTTGATTTTGTTGCTCTCATTTATATATGTCGCCACACACGGACGCACACACACTAATGTCAACATATATGTACGCGTACCTCTCAGCCGACGCCGCTGCCCGACGTTCATCTGAATAAAATAAAATTAATACTTAAGTTGGCTGGTTGAATTCGCTAGCGACACAGTTAATTGTTGCAAACATTATAGGCAAACGAGTGAGCGAGCGCACTTCACTTTCACGTTAGCCGCACGATTTATTTTCCTTTCCATCTATTCTTTGCATATTAAACGCGCTGGTCGCCGCAATTTCATCGAGCATCCTCCCAATCGGTAGGTGAACAGTGTTCCGCGCTGGATCGGATGCGTTTGATTCGCGATCTCCACGGAACCACGGGCCAAAAAATAAACCGTCTGCCATCGTCGCCATCTCAGATCGTACTAACAAAAATTGTAATTGTGATTGCCACTGTTAGTCCGTTTCCTTGCTTTGTGCTGCTGACAGTTGTTTGTTGTGTTAAAGTTTCGCGCGCGCTAAACAAGTTTGGAAGCATTCGGATGTCTTGTTGTCTTGTCGTCGGAGCACGTGACGTGGACCTTGACGCGGGCGTAAGACGCCTAAAGGGGGTCGAGCCCTGCGGTGCGCGTATTTTGTTTTGATTTCTCCACATTTGTAGCTTTGTGTTTGTGTTATGTTGTGCTGTTTCGCTTGTGTTGTGAATTTGTGAGAAGCCTGTGGGTTGTTTACGAAAATCAACCATAAAAATAAACGCAAAAGTTGACACTTTTTGTTTTTCAAATAACAACCAGCAAATCGTGTGTTGTAACCAGACAAAGTGCTTAACGCTTGACAACTAAGACCCACAAAGGCTAAAAAGTGTTACGTGAAAGTGCTCATAATTGATCCGCATTAAATTTATCAAATAAATTTCAGACTAAAGCCCTAAAAAATTATATTGAAATTTCTGAGAGCAGGATTGAGTCACTGGAAATCCCCGAAATTATGAATTAGTACAAGTGTTAAAAATTAAATTATTAACATACATGTGTATGTACATATATATACATATACTTATACATAATATAATATAATATAGTCGTATATACAGCTGTTGACAGCTAATTACAATTATTATTATATTTATTGATGAGTATAATGATAAAGAGTTTTGATATGCCGTTATTTATATAAGTCTAAAAAGTCTTGCATTGTTCGCGTTACTCTATTTACTAGTAGTATCACTCTGTTTTGTAGTTGTGAAGTTAGTTTTTTTTTTTTTCAAATAGTAAATGCGTCACGATATAGAAGGTGAATTAAGTGCGACAACTAATTAGAAATAGTTCCTTAACGGAATTATAACCTCAAAGTATTAATTTTTATTAATAATATTACTGATTTATAGTAAGCGTGTGTTTCAAAGTTGTGGTTTAAAATATATTATTCAAGTTTTTTAATGAGCTGCAGGTGTACATCTGCCCTACGTAGTTAAATTTTTGACCTTCGTCAGTCTGGAAATACGTGCAAATAAATTGTGAATCAGATCAAATGCTTAAAAAAATTTTATTTAATGCCTTTAAACATATACAGAATTTAAAACTATATACAATGTCCAAAGAGAGCAATTTCCTGACATTTGGTCTAATCTCGACTGAAACGCAGGGAAGCACGCAGGAACCCACTTCTGACTAAAATTCGTACAAACGACGCGTAGACTTTGCCAACTCTTATTGGTCTAAAACAACAAATCAACGAAATCCTAAAAAATGCCTTATTGACATGGGCCTCAGCCCATTTCCTCAGAAAATTCGCCTGTTATAAGGAAGATAACAATTCAAGGCATATCAAAAATATTTTCGTTTCTAATTAGTTGTCACACTCAAATCGTTGATTTCACATGTTTTTGTTAAAATATTCAAAACAAAAACAAATTTTAAACTAAATGTTTACCATTAGAGTTTAAGTTTAACATAGGCTTCACTAGAATAAGTTAAAATACAATAAATATACGTGATTTTTTGGAAAATAACATCTTTTACTTCAAAAGGTGTCGTTTTTAATTAACTGTCAACAGCTGTATGTGTGTACAAGTTTTCTCCCTACGCACTGGGAGGATTAAAAAAAACAATTTTTGTTTTTTTGGAGACGAGCTCCGTTCTTTATTCGATGCAACGAAAATACCAAAAGCCCCTTATAATTAATTGTTACTTCTATTTATACAATATTTTATAACTTAGTTCTATATTATATGTTGTT